CAAAATCCCTCCAGTGGTTTTTCTGTGATGCGGTAACAGACAGACACACAGACAAACAAAAATTCTAAAAACTATAGATTCGGCCAGCCGATACAAAGCAAAGCACACCGATTTCGAAAATATTTGATTAGGTATGTATAATAAATGAAAACTACCAATCAGTTATTTTTTACTTTTTAGTGCTTTTGTTTGAAGTCGGTTTTTATTTTTTTGTTATGTATGAACAATATTATACAAATAATATAAAGCCAAAGAGATTTTTTGCAGATTAAACGCCTGCGTAGCCGCGAGTTCTGCAAGTAATATATGAAGATGTGTATATGTATTACGAGTATGTTGATGTAAGATATATAGCCGTAATGAAATGCGAACATTAACATACGGCCTTTGATATAAAATAATAAATGCTATATTAATTAATCGTCTTGGTTCATTTCACTAACGTCGCGCAATTACAATATACCTCAATTCTAGGACAAGTGCTGTACTTATTACTGTTTATTCCCATAATTTTATTACGAAAACGACTTAGGTCATATGGAGAATGATTCGACTTCAAAAAAGGAGAATAAACTCAACATATCTGTTATTTTCGCAATTTGTGAACTAATTTCCATGATCGTTTTTCAATAAATATGTTAGCCTCAAGGGTGGTTCCATATAAGTTTCTAGAAACAAATCCGTATAAAAGTAGAATAAAAGTATACGTTTAAAATGATATTGAAGTTGGTATACTTTTTAATTACTAAATAATTACGAGATTTCCAAATTTTCTCGTCATCCATTTTCTACTGAAACGACAAAATACAGACGAATATAACTGTAGCAGAAGCATTCATTAGCAGAAGTACATACTTGTGGTAATAAAAGAATTCAACACTTTTAAGGGCAATAAATAACCATGTAAGTATCCGAGATATGCAGGAATAGAATTTGCGCTCTTGTCCAAATTATTCATTATTTATTTACACATAATATAAACATGTAGAATTTGAATTGTTTACGTAACATTCATCTACGTAAATGCATAACTGGTTAGGCTTTCGCAGAATTCTCACGTTTTGCAACAACTATAATATTCTCATGTGATAAATTATAGGTAAAGGCCAAATTATTTTATAAATATAAATTTTACTAGCGAATTACCGTCGCATCGCTCGGGTGCATCTGCCGGTACATTTTAAATATACCTGAATACATAGTTAATGCGAGTGTACCTTAGGAGATAGACTCATGCTTGATATTGCCGACTTTTCCATCATCATTTCATCTATACACATATATAACACTAAAGCTCGTCAATAGCTACAACGAAGAAAACAAAAGCAAATCGGTGCCAAATAGAGGAAAAAGAAAACGCACCGAACTGCTTTGTCTTTGCCTATTTATATAGATAATACGATTCAGTGTCTGAATCAAATTAATTAACGCAATTGTAATTTGGTCTGGTAGTTCAGTCTCACCTAGCGTTGACCTAAAAAGAGTAGTTGAAAATAAACCAATATTTTAAACTTTTAAGCCTCACGCAACGTTCTTTTCGGAGAAGAAGATTAATAAGATACCAACAGAGATCTTTTCATTCCATTAGTTTAAGAGTTGGACATTAGAAGGTTTAGTAGTAGCGTATATTTTTTATATGAAAACCTCATGCTTTACTTTACATAAAAACGTATATATAATACTAGCTGTGCCCCGCGGTTTCATCCGCATTAAATTTGTATGATTATAAACATTAATTTTACAATAATATATTGAAGTCTGCACGATTTTTTGACGTTTATGACAACTGCTCCCCTCCCTAGGTAGTAGCATGACGATATATAGCCTAAAGCCTTCCTCAATAAATGGGCTATCTAAATAAAAATAAATAAAAAAATGTGTTTTTCTTATAAGTACCGTATATAATTTCATATGCATTTAGTAAAACGCTGTGATTTTTACATTACAAACAGACGCTTCAGTTTTATTTATCTGTATAGATTTCTTTTTTAAATCCCTCCTATTAATAGTACATGTACATACATACATGTACATGTACATACAAACATATTCCAAAAAATTAAAAAGCTATAGTGAGGTCTTAGATATACTATTTAATTAAAGTACTAAGTTTCAGGTTATTTAATTACGTGTATTTGTTACGAAATTAACTAATGAAGATAACTCATAACAATTCGTTTAGATTCAGCATATCGCAGTGTGCCAAGGCCAGGTAAAGTGTGCCAGAGTTTTGCCACCGCTTGCCTTAGCCAATCGCGAATGCTACGTTTTTAGTGTAAAACGCCCGGTTGCACCATTTCGGAGTTCCGTTTGTTAACAATGAATATATTGTTTAGCTGTATTTAAAAGGTACGGTATGGAATATAGCAGTTGCTCTGAAAACGGTTTGGGATGCTTCTTAAAATAAAATAACTCTCATACACAATAAAATTACGTTAAATGGATATCTATCTAGCTTACGGCGCATTTTATTGTTGATTGGAATTTGGTAAATTGATTAGAATGATATGTTCATATTAGCTCGTGTAGCTAGCAAATAAATTCCATATTTTGCTGTAGCGTGAATTTAGGTTATAGAAAAATTTCTAGAATTCACAGTGAATATTCTCACTAAATTTCCAAGACTAACAATTTGGAGCAAGCGATGTGGCAGACGATAACTAAAAAAAATATAAAATTTATTTTAAAAATCTATTAAATATCGGTTTTTGTATATATCTCTTGCTCAATTAATACTTTCTTAGATAAACGCGAATATTTGGCATATAATAAAATTCTGAGTCGAATCTGTACATTAATTTTTTTTGGGAATATTACTGAAATAGTAATTATTATCAATACAGAAGCCGAATCTATAGTTTTTAGATTTTTTTCTTTGTCTGTCTGACCGGGAACGCATCACGAGAAAACTGGACAGATTTTTATGAAATTTGGTATGGTGATAGCTGGTTATCCGGGTCAAGGATATCATATAGGATACTTTTTACTGCGGGAAAATATTTCATCTCTGATAAATCTGTACTAAGCGTTAAAACGTGACCAGGAATAAACCCGAGCGGAGCGAGGGTGAGTCGCCAGTTTTAAATAATACTCTTTTTGGGGTTTTTGAGGTTTTGAGTTTTGATTCTAGTCATTTAGAATCATTTACGACCATTAGGGTTACGGGGTAGACACGTTTGAGTCTTTTACAATCGTTGAAGTATAGAAATATATACAATAAAAAATATATAGAAATGATATATTATGATTGTGTGATATCAGTCATATCAATTCAATTTTTAAAATGTTTACTTTTGAATGATCGTAGAATAACATCTTGTCCAAGCCCCGGTCTATGGTATAAACTGTTGAGGATGTCACTTTATCGTGGTAACGAAACTTGGTTACCATGACAACAACACCCAATATAACACTTGACTGACCTTATAACTTTGCAGAAGGAAACAAACAACAAATCAATTATCACAATTATGAACATATTAAAATATACATAGGTACACTATTATACGTTCAGGCTAATTATTTTTACTCAGCGAACATTTGCATAAGATACACTCGAGTAACTTCCTCACAATTACATAATAATAATTTGTACGATTTTGGATCGCATCGTATCGATAGATTAATCAAGTCCCATCAAAAATGTAACATGTAAAAAAATGCAAGTCTCGCAACGCAGTTTTTCTACCACAAAAAGTTGTGAGATCTAATATAAAATCAGGTCAGTTAATTTATTCAGTAACTATCTATGGAAGCATATACCTATCCAACAACTTTGTCATAAATTGTTACTTAATTAGTTAAATAACAACATTTTATAGTGATTGCATATCTTTATTTGTTTAATAAATAGAATGACTTGATCATATTATGTCCCCTTAGTCGCTAAAAATTCAGGCTTCTGGCTTTAACCACAACGAATTTATAAGGGAGCTCGAGAAAAGGCTGGTACGGCCGTGCCCCCAGATATTTAAAAATGGCGAATACAAATATCAAAGTGCAGAGTTGCGTCGAATGACACAACACGTGTTGCAACGAGTGTCATGTAGTTATCATTGCCTTACCCACTTGCCTTATCGATATTAAAATGTTTTCTATTAACAGATGAGAGTTTAGGAATTGTAAGATTAAACCATATATTTTTGCAGGTTAGTTCTGTAGTTACCTACCAACGTAAATTAAAATTATGGATATAATATATTTTTTATATACGATAATTATATGACAATAATTGCGCAATAATACTAGGTTCTACTCACGATTGTGCCCACAAATTGGGCATATTAATGCAAATAACATGATAACTAAACATAATTCCTAATTAAAAACGACAAATAATATACATACATATGTATGTATATAGCAATTAATTCTAACGTTTCAACAGACCTTACGTATGTACATTCTATATGTAATATCGATCTTTGATCGCGTTTGCTGTTGAATATTTAAAACAGCCAAAAGCTATTATGAGAGTATTTAAACACAAGACAGCTTGTGGGTTTGTTTCTTATTAAATTAGATTTATTTACATTAAGTAATCATAAATATAAAATATGTACCTATTATATATAGTACTTTTAATTCCGATACATGAATGAGTAGATTTTGCCGCATAATATAAATAATAATAATAAGTAAATAAATTATTTATTTACATAATTTTATAGGTATAAGCGGGACGGGAATAAAAATAGCCTATATCCTGTTTCCCCAAGATCCATCCCATATCTTTGCCGAATTGTATCAATACCTGTTCAGCGGTTTAAGCTTAATAAGTAAGAAAAAGACAGAGTTACTTTTGTTATAATTATATACATATACATATGTTATTTAAAAAGACAATGATCACAGTAAAAGCAGTAAAAGAGGTATGACTTTGTAATAGCCTACATATTTTATATATAAGTACAATAATTACATATTTAAATATGTGTTTACTTAATTTACAGAAAACAAGCAAGTGAACGTAACATAAAAGAGAAGATAAAAAAACTCACCAAGTATAAGATGTAATTTAGCATCCGTTTGGAAAGCGTAATGCAATGTGACGAGGAAAGGACACGCCCTGACTGCTTCTAAGACCTAGAACAAGCCATTAACGGCTGCTTTTAGAAAAAAGTATTTAAATTTATCTCGTTGTAACTTGTAAATATTATAAATGTATTTTTTTGATACTCCCTTACCTGCACACATACAAACAAACAAACATACACCTTTTTATAATAATTAATAAGTATAGTAGCCGTATAGTAGGTAATCAGATTTTGAGGTTGGTACTATAATAAAAATATATTAAAAATATTTTATCATAACCCAAAACTATTTTAACAAGTTATTTACACTAAAAGTACATATAAACATTAGATAAATAACGTAGAAAAAGTTCCCGTTTGATCCAATTAGTATATACTGTCTAGTATTGGCTTCAGCGACACTAGCAAGTTCACAGAAATCTTGGTGTTGCTAATAACTATTAGACGATTTTTTATCATAGATAATAGATAACAGCAAAATTTCATTTACATGCACCATGAAGGGGCGAAAATAAGTTTTTTTTTGTACGTGAACTTATTTATGTTTCTCGAGTGTTGCAGTTATAAAAAAATAATTGAGATAGCCAATACAAGTCGCTAGCGTCTTCTAATACATTTTTTTTATTCTTTGGTAGTTATTTCGCGAAGACTTTAAAAAAGTTTGGTACTATTCGCTGTTAACAACCCCTCCATAAACTTACCCTTCAATGTTCTAACAATTTATTATATATTTAAGTTAATATTTATAAAACAAATGATATGTTTTTGCTTTAAATACTTAATTAAAATATATAAATAAACAAAATCTCAAAAATATCTAGATGTAATCACCTGTCGTTCCGTCCGCGTGTGTTCTGCTGTCTTCAACTTTTGGACTATTGAAGCTTTTTTAAGCACCTTCATTGCGTATAGCTTGCCTTCGTCCACGCCACATCTTTTTCTAACTAGGAACACTTTGCCGTAAGCTGAAATAAAAAGTATAATTTAATATTTTGTAATATATTTGAGGCGGACTTAATATTATAAAGAGGTAAAGTTTGCGAGTTTGTGACGTTGTAGGGGGTAATTTCTGGATCTACTGAATCGATTTAGATGAAATTTGGTAAGAAGATAGTTTGAGACCCTGGAAAAGACAAAGGATACTTTTTATCCCGGAAATCATCCCTTAAGTTGTGAAAATGGGGATGAAAGTTTGTATTGAGAAGCAAGCTAGGGACGAACCAGAGCGAAGCGAGGGTGAGTCGCTACTAATAGATATAGATATTATGTAATGTAAAAAGCGAAGTCGTAATTCAAGTTAAGTATTATCTAAATCGTCGTTATTTGGGGTCGCATATGTAACTAAATTACTGTTTTATAATAGTTAATTACTCAATAGTATAAAAACTCATACTATATATTTTACTAGCGACTTACCCTCGCTCCGCTCGGGTTCGTCCCTACTTACGTTTTAACGTTTAGTGCCTATAGATTTCTCAGAGATGAGATATTTTCCCGCAGTATAATGTATCCTGTGTTATGTTAACCCGGATAACCAGCTATCATAATACCAAATTTAATCAAAATCTATCCAGTGGTTTTCTCGTAATGCATTCCTAGACAGACAGACAAAAAATCTAAAAACAATAGATTCAGCTTCTGTATCAATAAACATGAGAATTTCTATAAGATTGTCCAAAAAATATATAACTATAAATTAAAAATTTAAAAAGACCTCTTCGCAAAAAATATATATAATTATATTATAATATATAGTTTACAACTCTTAAAAAGTAAAGAAACTTAATCGAGTAATCATACGCCAAAATGCCTTACATCATTTTGGAAAAGAGCTGATACTCTTACACTGCTAGACCGATATTAACCAAACATAGCTAAGAACCACCGCAAAGAAACTAACTGGCTTTCAAATGGAATAAACCGCATCGAAATCGGTCCATCCGTTTGAGAGCTACGATGCCACATACAGACACACAAACAGAGACAGACAGACATCGACTTCAAACTTATAACACCCCTCTTTTTGCGTTGGCCGTAAAAATGTACAGATTCTACTCAGAATTTTATTATATTTATAGACTATAATAGATGATATAAATTTTCATGGCAAAAGAAACACATAAGCTACTGCTATGCAACTAGGGACCACACCCAAGAGAAGTGAGGGTAAGTCGCTAGTGAAATATGTATATAATTCACATAGCTACAAAATGTTACCATATGAAATATTTATAAAATATCGTTTTTATCTAAGTATACTTCTAATGATATATCTATAAACTAAATAACCAGGTCACCCAATTTTAAACTCAACGAACATCTGTAGTGGAAGAATCACACGCGTCGAATTAATTACCTTCTATCGAGAAGTCATATATTAATATTAGAACAGTAAATAATCTTTTTTATATCAATATATATAATATATTAAATTAAAAACTCGTTTTAGATAAATTTGTCTGTTTGCTTGAATTTTGCTTTAAAAGATAGTCGCTATTACTCAAGTCTCGAAAAAGTATTATTATCATGCGGCAGGTGGCCTTATCTATATACAGAAAAATCGTTATAAATAACCGTTATATACTCAACTAGCGAATTACCCTTGCTACGCTCGAGTGCGTCCCTAGATGCCTAGCAGTAGCCTATATGCTACTCCACGTCACAGTCTATATGTGTACCAAATTTCATTCAAGTCCGTTAGAGTAACAAACATACATACAACACATACAAACTTTCACATTTATAATATTAGTCAGTATGTTTTTTTAAATTACATTCATAAGAACAGTGCTTTTCTATTTAACCCGCATATAAAATTATTTAACAAATTAGGCGAGTATTTGCAATGAAATAACAAAGGACGATGATTCATAGGTTTAAGGAAGCAATACACAATGATTGCTAACAAAACTGCAACATGAATAGAATGGGACAACGCAGTTTGATACATTTTGGCATGTTACGCTACGGGACCAAGTTTTGGCCCAACATTAAATAAATAAATATGTTGGGACATTAACACAAAAACCCTAATATTTAAAGTTTCATAGTATGGCCTCTTTGATCTGAATTCATTAACAAGTCTCCAAAACGAATACGAGTCAAACAAGTAAGCAAGTTCAATAATCGACGTAGTAATTAGTAAATCATCTCGAAACAGCTGCTACGCGGGTAACCGGACACGTCCGGTCCGGTCCGGCGGAGGTTAGGCACCTATTGTTTGTTTATTTTTAAATAAGCACTGTCCACCTGATAGTTGTCAATGTCTTGACCGTTCAAGGCGTTTTATATTTATAAAGGAACTAGCGATTCTTTTCGAACTTCCCAATTCAAACTTTCATCCCCATTTGCCCCTTTTAAGGGATGATTTCCGGGATAAAAACTATTCTATGCCTTTCATATAAATCCATTTAGTAGTTTTGGAGATTATTAGGTACAAACAAAAAATCTTTCTTATTTTTAATATTAAGTATAGATACTCTTGTGCAGATCCTGCGTTACTACGCATTATTTAGTACGCAGTAATTAGTACGCAGTGGCACTTATAAATGTTAAGCATTTTTTAAATGTATAAAATAAATATATGGATTGATAGCGGAATATTTAGAAATTCATCTGTTTTTTTTACAATTGATTAGCACTCATTGTTAAAACATAAACAAAGAAAAAATAAAATAGCTTAAAATTTAAAAATATTGGCAGGTAAAATAATCACCCACAGAGAATTTAATCGCCATCGTCAAAAAAAAACAAAACTGAACAATAAATGAAATACTAAATTAAAAATGGATAAACTAAAATGAAAGTGGTTTTTCTGTAAAATATAAAACAGAAAAAAATACAAAACTAAAGTCCTTTGATCTAGGAATATTGTCTATAGTAGGCAATGACCTAGATCGTTTGCAATCTGCATCCTAGGCCGGTCGTCGAACTTTACAAAATACATAAATACAATATGACGTTGCCAAAAACATTGAGAGAGTATATGAACCGACCTTATAACGGAAGGTCTTAGCGGACTGCGTAGGTTTTAAAAATATATTTTAATAATAACTCTGACTGTAGGAAATGTTGGTCAACTAATATATGCGTATTGCTTAGTACGCGTGATATTATTAATAACTAGGCTAGACTAATATAATATATTTGTATTCACGCTATATTATTTACATACGAGTATCTTCAATCTTCATACTAAACTCCTGAGAGAGTGAATAGAGAGAAGAGTTACTAAATCTCTTCACTTACATACCATATAGTTATAGAGGATGCGATCCTCCAACCCTAAATAAACTTTAAAAAATAGAGTTCGTTTCATAAACATATACAATATCTTGTATGTACATTACATATTAATTAATGTATGTCTTACGTTTATTAAATATTAAAATAAAAATAACACATATTTTTAAAAACTAACTTCTCGATAATGTTTACGTATAGGTATAGGTGTATTATGTATGTATATGTATGTATGTATTAAAATACAAAAATGAAGTGCTGTTTTTTCAACAATAAAACGATATGTAAGTAGGTATTGAATTTTTTTGACAAACTACAACCCCTTTTTAATGTCCAAGTGCTGAGCACGGGCCTCCCTTAAATTTTTCAATTGAGGGCGATCAGACCATAGTATGGTTAGCGGACTTCACGTTTTTCGAAAACTTGCTAGGTTCTCTTAGACATTAAGATTTCCTCACGATATTTTCCTTTACCGTTAGACAAGCAGTAATTAATCATCTTGAAAATGATTCGCACATGAAAAAATCAGAGGTGCGCGACCCGGAATTTGAACCCACTCCACTCAGTTTCCCAAGCATGAACGTTACAACTGCGCTACCACTGCCATTCTTTTTCTATTTAACCATGTGTCTCAAGCGACAAAAATCAAGGCGATTTCGTCTGTTATTCAATTTTCATCAAAGCGACTTTTCACCTTGTCGCGCGTCGCGACGCATCGTCGTTTTGTCATTATCCTTATTACCAGTTCAGAGAATGATGTATATACTTGAAGGTCACAATACGCTTTGAATAACTCATATTTCGGGAATCGCGCTGATCCAACACTAATTGCGAGATGAAAATCTTGGAAAATGTTTCGTACAAATACACTGGTTTGCTTTAATTTCTAGAATAAGTATATATGTATATTATGTATGTATATTTTTATATATTTAGATAGTATAAACCACTACAGAAATCTTGATAAACCTTATTCTTTTTTCTTTACTTTTTTAAATAATATTTTTAATTCCTCAACGACCGCGGACACGCCGGCGTTACAGTTAACAATAGATTTCTTAGAAATTTACCTGGAGGTGTTAAATTAGAAATATAATAGCAAACTTGATATTGGATTTAAGAAATCTCTAAGATATCTAAAAAATATATCAGAATGAAATATAAAGTACCCATTTATCGAGAAAAGGTAATAATGTAATACGCCAATATATAGAGATAGAGATCTTAACAACACTATGTTTTCACAAATATCTCATTTGTGAAAACAAGCTCATGCGTAGATTGTAATTATTGCGCTTCAGTTTCTGTTGATTGTAAAGAGTTCACTAAACTCTTGAAAAATGTTTTCACCTTTACATTGGACCAACATGGCCAACGTCTTGTGCAGCCGATACAGTAAAAAGCATTATTCCTGTTAATTTTTTTTATTTTGTTATATATTTAAATTTATTAGGACTTATAACAGAAGTAAATGGCTATATATACTTACTAAATCGTGTCGTCTATACATATAATAAAATTCTAACTAAGCCGAATCTGTACATTAAATATTTTTTGGAAAATCTTATTGAAATAGACATTATTATCGATACAGAGGCCGAATCTATAGTTATTAGAATTTTTTTCTGTCTGTCTGTTACCGCATCACGGAAAACCACTGGAGGGATTTTGATGAAATTTGGTATGGTGATAGCTGGTTATCCGGGTCAACATATTGGATACT